CCAACCAGTTAAAGACTTGGATTTTTGATTGCTAGTGTATAAGGTTTCCTGTCTCTGGTAGGCTAGGCCCGTCCTCTTAGCTCATTTCGCCATATATCTTGATAGTTGTGGTATCTTTTTGTGGTTTCTTATACTCCAGACTTTGAAAAATTGGATGCTATGTGTCATGGGCATTTCAAACTATTTTTTTAAAAATTAATCATATATTGATAAGTAGGAAGCAGCATGTATTGACTTTAACTTGAAGAACGCATGCAAATGGGGATTTGCAACAATGGGAAGCAGAGAGAGCTAAGAGGGAAGGAAATGGAAGGAGTATAGAATCAGAGGGAATGGGGTACAAAAAGAAAAAGAATGGGAAAAAGTGGGTCAGGGAGTGGGGGGTGGGGGGTGGCGGCTGTGGTGTAGAACAAATAATACTGAGATACTACATACCCTCATTGCTTATAAAGAACAATACTACATGTCCTTGATACTAATACCCTTGATACTTGCAATGGGAAAAATACGGGTCGTCAATATGTAGAGAAGTTTGGTTCCCATCTTCGTTGGCTAGCCTATTCTTAACTTTAGTAGCTTCTGTTGTGGTGTTGAAATATGCACCTAGGCATATTCCATAATAACCGCATGTGTATAGGAGACGAGGACTTTCTCGATGTCCACCTGGTTGTATTGATCGAGGTGGCCAAAGCTTAATCCATGTGATCTTAAACCTGTCAATAGTTGTTTCAGCCATGAGAGGAGCCTAATAGGTTTTCCAGATCTCCCTAGTTATTGTTTTGAAACCACCTTTGCAGGGCCACAGTTTCTATAAAAGAATCATCGTCATCTAAGCCTTATCCCTACTATTTGGGGTCGGCTAAGTTTTTGTAAAAGAATTATCACCATCGTCATCATCATTATCATAGCCTTATCCAACTATTTGGGGTTGGCAAGTTTGTATTCGTACTTGATCTTTATGGAATCCCTAGGTTGTCGTACTCATGGTGGCATGCAGCTGTGGCCCAGTTTATATTGCAATCCTGCACTCACCAAAACTCCGGCAGAGTGAGGTCCTATGAAATGATTGAATCCCTTATCCTCTTAGATAATATGGCATGCGGCATCTGTTTCCAATAAAAGTTCTGTGAAGATTATGGGGACAGATTAATGAGTTATATGTTGATTTATCTATTAAGCTGCTGTTAGGGGTCAAGGACAATTGGCATTCAACTAGAGAAGGACCCTCTAGAGAGTGACTTCAGGGTAAGGTACCATTTCAAGGGAGGCTCTATACAGTGGGAGATTAGGGTAACATGCCTCCTAATCCAATCTAATCCTATGTGTCTTCCTATAATATATTATTTCATTGATAATTTAATTGGAAATATATATTAGGAGATCTAATTAGAAATGGGAACTCCCCCTTCAATAAATACTTTATCCTTCAATAAATACTTTATCCCAACTTTGGATTAAATATTTCATAAGATTCTCTCCTATTTTTGGGATTATTAAATTCATTGGAAGCCAAATGCATTAACGCAAATTTTAGGGGCTATTTTGGAAAAAAAAAATTTGTACCTTTTTTACCATATAGAGACTGAAATCACAAGAATATAAACATGCCTCACACTTGACTCTTTCTTGTGGCCATTAAACCTACTGATCACAAGGTGCTGGGTACATTTTAATGTAAAAACAAACACGTGGGGTGCAATCAATTATCATAATCACTACGATATGTGGGATTTTTCTGAAAAAGGCATATCTTCAAGAAAACCATGATTGTTTGTATCACTTCAAATTTGGACTAGTTTCCATGACTCAAGGTGAGTAAAGCATGCAAGAATTGAAAGGAGTAGTTATGTAGAACTCAAGGTATTAAATTCGAATTTTGTTTTTTACTTTTATTCAATATACTTGAGTTCCACTTACATGAGCGACTAAATATTATTGTAAATAAAAAATAATACCCTAGATACAACCTAAGATATTTATTTTTACTACCAAAAGAAATAAAAACTATCCAGGAGCTTTAAATAAACTTCCACTATAATTTTTAGTACAAAACAAGTTTCTAAAAATTCACAGAAAATAAGAAATAATGCTGAAAAGTAATTAAAGCTACTGGGACGATTTACTGGAAGATACTTGCAGTTACCCTCACAGTTCTTGGTACACCCCACACTCGATTTGCCTAATTGATGACGCACTTTTACTCCTTTAGGTGTTGCTGGAAATTATGATATAGGGAAGCTTTATAGGCAATACTTTTTTTCCTAAGGGTTTAGAGAGCAAAAAAATAATTAGGGTTTATGTGAACAAACTAGGGCTGAGCTTGTGAGTTCATCTCTCTCCAGGTTAGTTGTTACCTTTATTTTCTTCAAAATACAGCAAGCCTCCCTTAGGATTTTAAAGTTCCTCCTTTTCTTTCTTTTAATAGAAGCTACTCAAATAAAAGGAGAGAGAGTAGCATGAGTCTCTAAGGCAAAGCGGGGTCACGTGACCTTTTTTTTTTAGTACGAGAGAGAGAGAGAGAGAGAGAGAGAGAGATCTTGGGGCATGAGAGAGAGAAATCTAGATCTAATGAGAGAAGGGGTTCAAATCTTGTTTAAATAGAAACAAGATTTATTTCCTATTTTGAATAGGATTCTAATCTAGGAATGCCTTATCCAATTTCCAGCTTGACCTTTAGGATAATTAGAAAATCTGTGGGGCGAGAGATTTTATCAGAGTCATCCACCCCACAAATCAGCCGTCATGATTTTGGGTGGAGACATAGGAACCTTATCCCCTTATATTTTTACCCAAATCCAACTCCTATTTAAATTTGAAATAATATTTTAAAATTTTAAAAAAATATTAAAATATCATAAAAATATTTATAATAGCAATATAAACTATACTACGAGTGGACTGGTACCAATGGGTCAAAACTAGCGACAATAAACGCAGTCCACTCGCCCAAAAACCCACAACCAACAGGGACCCATGACCCACAGTCTCAAAGTAGGGGTTCATGATTGACTTGTCAAAGTTGGACAACAAATAGTAGGACCATGATCCTAAAATATAGATTTCAGTTCTCCTTTTAAGAGCAATTCTTGCACTTGTCATCACAGTGCAAAGGGGTTCTCTACGAACATGTACACGTGTCCTTCTATAGGGCTACTTCCCAGTTAGCTATCATGTGTATATATCCTGTAGAAGTTTGTTGAGGCTTTAACCCTTGCTCTCATAGGCCTATAACTGCACACAGGAGACTACACAGTTCTCCTGGCCTACAATCATCATCCCTGGGCATCTCTTTGACCTGAACGAAGGATGACCAATTACAAACCCTTCTCGGAAGTGCTACATGCCGAGGGGTAAGGGTTTTGGACATGACCAGGGCCATAAATTGCTCGACCCTTGGTCAATCAACACATGCACTCCTACATTCCACTATAGAATATAATATTTTTAAGCTCTCTAGTCCTTTAAAAGCCACAAAACCCAAGAAGAATTTCATTCTTCCTTAAAATAATATGGTGTGAAGTTGATACAGCAAGCATATGCATGGGAAGCAATTTTCACCCTGTGATTGTTATAATTCAAAAGGCAATATGTCCTTATATACTTCTTAATTAATCATCAACAATGATGCGTGCTTTCAAATATGACAATTCCTCAGATATAATTATTGCTTAGTTTTTCAACCATATTTAAATTTGAAATATAACCAATCACTAGATCTCGCATAATCAAGGATAATCTATATTTTAAATCTCCCACTAAAATAGGAAACCAAATCTTGTTTAAAATTAAAATATTTTCTATCTTTAACTTAATTTAAAATTTTGAACCAAGAAAATATGGGGCATGCCTTTTTATTCCTAAAAAGGTGGCATGCCACTTTTTTGTTTAAAACAAATTGGGGTGGCCCACTAGGGGGTGGCACATGGTCCCCACACATAAACAAAACACACACACATGTGGGGCCAGATCCTTGGTCCCACATGTGTTATTTGAAGTTACGAAAATTTTAGAAATACCCATTTGAAGTAAATTGCAGCAGAAATAATATTTTAAAATTAAAAAAATATATTTAAATATCATAAAAATATTTATAATATCCATATAAAATATCCTAGTAATGGACTTGTACCACTGGATTAAAACTAGCGACAATAAGAGCACTCCACGCACCTAAGAACCCATGACCAACAAGGACCCATGACCCACAGTCTCAAAGCAAGGGCTCATCATTGGCTTTTCAAAGTTGGACAGTAAACAGTGGGACGATGATCCTAGAATGTGGATTTCAGTTCCCCCTTTTAAGAGCAAATCTTGCGATTGTCACCACAATGCAAATGGGCTCTCTCTATGCACATGTATATATGGCTCTCTATGGGGCTGCTTTCCAGTTATGCGGCTATCATGTGTATACATCGTGTGGAATTTTGTTGAGGTTTTAGCCCTTTGCTCTCTCAGGCCTACGATTGCACACAGGAGACCACACAGTTCTCTTGTCCTATAAACATCATCCCTGGGCATCTCGCTGATCTGAACAAGGGATGACTAATTGCAAACCCTTCTTGGAAGTGTTTACATGCCTAGGGATAAGGGATTTGGACATGACCAAGGCCATAAACTGCCCAACCCTTGGTCAGTCAACACACACACTCCCACTAAAGTGCACATTCCATTATAAAATAACATATTCACAAGCTCTCTAGGCTTTTAAAAGCCACAAAACCCAAGAAGAATTTCATTCTTCCTTAAAATAATATGGTGTGAATTTGATACATTGCAGCAAGCATATGCATGGGAAGCAATTTTCACCGTGTGATTGTTATAATTCAAAAGCCAATATCTCCTTATATATTTCTTGATTAATCACCAGCAGTGATGCATGCTTTCAAATATGATAACTCCGCAGGTCTAATTCGTTTATTAGTTTTTCAACCATATGATTGTTCATAATTTGTTTTAGTTGATATAGTTTGTTTTTAGTGATATGTTGGTTTTTTGTGCAGTGTGAAGAATTGTGGTTGGGTAAGGCACATATTCCTCGCATGTCTATGGTGAAAGGAATATCAAAATTATCCGCTTACTCTGTCTCCATTATGGATAGCAAACGTGTAAGTAATCTCATATTCCTCACCGTAATTTTATATCCCTCACCACAAGATGCTGCATCTTGCACCTTTTTCTTCTATTTCTTATATGGTATTCCATGTTCTATCATTGACTTCATTTGATGTTTTCATGTGTCGGATCTTGGAAGAACTTTGTAACTGTCCTTTTATTACAAGTAGCAGTTTCATGAATCTTTACACATCGGTTGTCTCACTAGGGACACAAACAAACTTACTAGATTAACAAACTAATGTTGATGCCTCTTGGCTTCTTCCACTTTGGCTTCATAGTTGGGCGTTCTAAGGTTAGGAAGACTAACAGAGACAGATCTCAACACTGCTCATCAATCGTGCCCGTCTCAACACTGCTCATTAATAGTGTCCATGATCTTTTCATTGAGGTGCGGCATCATGTCAAGTCCATCTAATATAACATTAGATATATATCCCTCTATAGTGTGTCAACAGAATCATTGATTTGTGTATTGGAGGTGTGCAACAGCAGTTAATAGATCTAAATCGAAATATTTGTTATAAGAAAGGATTTTCTAGCCTGTTATTGCTTTGGGAAATATTATGGCAATCTAAAGATATGAGGAAAGGAGGGAGAAGTAGGGGATCCTGTTCACATCAATAGATGGGCCACAAGGTAGGTCCCATGTCCCTGGTGCCTGGAACAATTGTACAACCAAATATATGCCGTTTCCAGCAAAAGTCAAATCTCTTACAAGCACATCTACTGCGAGGCAAATTGGGCTGCCGATGCTCCGGCTGACGTTGGCTGGCAATACTTTATACTTTATAGTGAATGAACACCAGTTATAACCATGGCATTTTTTGCTTTGTTGTGTTTTTCTGGTTCTTTTTTGTTACACAGTTTCAGCTACAGCTATACGCAAGCTATAAATATCTTTACCAGTAGTACAAAAATTCAATTTTATCAAAAGAAAAAAGGAAATGAGGGAAGACTCCAAATTCAGGCTGTAACCCTAACTTGTATGGAATATGAATCATCAGCAATGTTTTGTATTTGGGGTTAAATGCTGAATTTGGAGCTGGTATAGATACTACAAGGTTAGTCCCTAGAGATTAAGTGGAATAAATTGAGTTGTTACCACTTCCACATTTTTAACTCTATTTCCTTTCTTTTCTGAAATCACAATTCACTCATGAAAGGCAGGTTAATGCTACTATTTTCTGCTCATTTTATTGTCTCCTTACTGCAGTTTTTCCAATGCTTGCCTTTATGATTACCTCTTGTACATAAAACTCTTTCTTGTTGATGTATGCTTGCTCCATTTTGAGAGTGAATCTAGGAGCTGTGTTATACCATGGAGTCACTTGTGTTTCTATGCTGAATGGTATCTCTGATTATTATTTCACTTTTTTAGATTGTTATAGTTTGGAGGGCACCATTTTGTCCTCGTTTTTCTTGGAGAGATTGTACCATGTTGCAGGGATGTGTAGTATCATTCTATCTGAGTGAGTTATGTAGGGTGCAGTCTCATAATAAAATTGTTTATCTGGTAGATTGTTATAAATATTATATTGGGACATGCTCACTCATTTTGGCAGGCATGTTCATCATGCACATGCCCCCGGGGAGAGAGAGAGAGAGAGAGAGAGAGAGAGAGAGAGAGAGATGTGATGGCCTACCATGGCGTGTCTTAAGTTTCAGTTTTTCTTTTTTTTTGTTTAAATTTTGCCATAGTAGGTTATCAAATCTCTCTCTTCCTCCCTACCTCCCTCCCCCCAAACCCCCGTTTTTTGTTAGTGACAACATTCTTAACAGAGTAAGACTTCTCATTCTTGTAGACCCGCATATTAAGGGATGACCTCTGTGACCATGCATGGGAGTTCCGTTTCAAAAAGGTAACCCAACATCAACCGTTCTCACACCGTATGCAACATTCTTCCCTTCATGCATAACTATAGAAAACAAGAAGAACCTCTAATCATTGTTACTCTCTCTAGACTGCTCCACCTTATTGGCTCAATTTGGATCCATCTTGGAGATGCACAGGGCCTCCCATGCACCGTTACTTCCACCCTGATGGTACTCAAACTGCAGATCCTTTAGATGGAGTCTGGGGAGGCCATGAAAGCACTTACTGCATAGTCACGAGTTTTGTAGATGATGAGAAAATCAGAGAGCATTATGTACGAATTAACAGGTGGCCTCGCATGTCTGTTTTAAGGAAGGAAGACTGGAGTTGGGAGTTGGCCAACCAGTTGTATTGGTACGCAAGTGTCCCTGATGCCAATAAGGAGGGAGGAACTGGACCCATGTTTCTGGTTCGTTAGGATGGAAAATATGAGTAGCCTGCTCATTTCTACTGTATGTTCTTTCGTATATTTATAGGTGGTTAGAGAGGGAGAGGGTTATCTGAATGTGCATATTTTGTATAGGTTTCTTTCTGGTTATCTTCATGTAGTTCGTATATTTATGGGTGGTTAGAGAGGGAGAGGGTTATCTGAATGTGCATATTTTGTATGGGTCTCTTTCTGGTTATGTTCATATACTAGAATCTTGGTACTCATCTTGGCATGCTTTTGTAAATAGATTATGAGGAAGGAAAAAGTTTATACAAGGTGTGAAACTTGTACCGGAGAAATACGGCGCATCGCAAAAACCCACTGAAAAAGGTCATTCCGACAATGGAAAACCTTCCAATTGATCATCTTGACTTCGGGATTTATGGATATAAAAAAAATATAAAAAAAAGAAACAATTTCGAGTTTCGAAAATAATATATATTTGCGCATATTATTTGGACTATCAAGTTTCAATATTTTCAAGCCCATTTCAGGGTTTCTAGTATCAAAACTGCATCTTTCGGCACGTTTTGGAGGGTACCCTATGCCTTATACAAACCCCACCCTATAGAGAGTTTGACAAGTGGTATGCAAATATCAAGTAGAAGACAGAGATATGTGTACAATGTGTGAGAATGGTTATGGGGAATGTTGGGTTTATTGCTGGTAAAGAACTGCGCTTGACCTATACGTCAGTGTTTCCAACATGCAAGGAAGAGCATGTTTCTATAGATGGGGTTTCCGCCATGGTAATATATATCCTGGTAGCTTTGAGGCAGAGGCTCTGTATGCCAGTGTACAGTCTACTGCAGGTCATATTTAGGTAACCTGTCCAATAGTGTGGAGAGAGAGAGAGAGAGAGAGAGAGAGAGAGAGAGAGAGAGAGATGTGAATATTGGCTTAGATCATTCCAATTTATGTCATGACTAAATTGTGTCTATCCGTTTAGTCGTGAGCTTAGTGAATTGATATATGAGGTGCATACTGGTTCGAATTGAAACCGGCCTGGTAAGTATTCAAATCCACACATCTTAAAGGCAAGAACTGCATTCATAAATTTTAACTTGATGGATATTTGTGGAATCTATAATGCGTTATGAAATGCTTTTGAGCAAATGAGACTTTAATATTTCCTGATTCTGAAGCCTGTGGTCATGGAAGTAAGATAGTGCTTAATTTGGGTCAGAGTTGTTCGCACTACGCAGTTGGTCTCATTACATGCTTCTTGTAGCCGTGTAGGGAGGGCTGGTCAATTTCGATGAAGAGTAAAGTTGTACAGCTTTTAGGCATCAGAGATTTCTTGTTACCTTTAGATTTTGAAGGTGAATCTGTAAGTTTTTCAAAGAACTGAAACATTGTCTGCGCTCTTGGGAGATTTGGCCATTTACATAGAAAATTCAAGAGATGGTTGAGGAAGCATTTTTAGTACACAGTGTTGAGTGTAAGTATGTTAGACCCCCAAGCTGTTATATTCTAAGCATTTTATTATAAAAATAATCAAATCCTGTTCGATTTAGCCGATAATTGATCTGTGCCATATACACATGCAAATTATTCTCAACTGTGCCGGTTCATAAGGTGAAATAAGTGGGGCATTAAATAGCAGCTCAAATGAAGTAACAAACTCATTGCACATCAAGAGTCATTTAACACTGTATATTGCTAGAAAATAGTGGGGGTTGCAAAAGAAGGTGAAAGAGGAGATTACAGGAAGATTGAGAGGTATGATACACAACCAAAGATCCTAACCAAGCTGCAACACACCCTCCTCAGGGCACCTCTTGGACCTCATCCAGTGCATAGTTGTTGGTTGAAACGTTCGCATAGTTCACCTTGGTGAATCGAACTGTGACTGGGTATCGCGTGTTCAGGTCCTGCCGGTCAACCAAATATCATCATCCATAACAATTAGACCTCAAATGTATGCATGTATGTATGTATGTCAACCGCATTATTTCCCGACATCAGAGAAGCTTTCTTTTCTCATATAGGAAACCTCTTACTTTCAAAATGCAGATAAATTCATGTTTGGTGCGCTTTATGATGCGAAGGAGCTCCATCACAAACTAGCTTGTTATCTCTGTAAATGGATTATAGATTTGTACATGATGGGTATGGATGCGTGCATCATTCATTCACACTAGTGCAGACCATAGGCATCAAATATATATAAATATATATATATAGTAAACCTTACAACAGCTGGCCAGCTATAATAAATAGCATATAGGTGGAATGGGAGCTATCAGATTTTCGTCATGTAACTCAGAATGTACATCACTATTTTAATTTTAAATTTTTTTATATAAATCTGATTAATATGAAATTTTGGGTATATATACCTAATACTATTGTGTACCATATAAAAACATTATTTTCAATAATTTAAAATAACCAAAATACCCCCATCATTTTCAAGGGTATTTTGGTCATTTTATATTCTGAGAAATATTTTTTATTTGTGCACCTTATTTTATTGTACATATATCCAAAATTTTATTATGGGCCAATTTATAGAAAAATAATTAAAATTAAAACAATGGATTCTGAATGAAAATCTGACATTTTTTATTTTCACCTATAATACTATTCATTATAACTGATAAGCTATTATTAGTTTTTTCCATATATATATATATATAAAAGCCTTCTTTTTCTGATAATAAATGCATCTACACTCCTAGAGTACACAAATGGTCGACTCGAATAGATGAACAACTAATCCTAACCGTCCGTCCATCTGTTTGTCTTTGAGTATATGGTATGGTGTACTAGACCTATACTACTAGTAACGAAGGTTGTTTCATGTCTGAGAATGCGAGAAATTTAGAAATCGGAGTTATGTCGAGATTTGATTTACAGAAAGGAAGTATAGGCATGATATGATATGATCCAAACCACTGAAACTTGTATGATACCTGGTCAACTGCCACAACTGATCCAATGCCATTGTACCAGTAGGATTCTTTCCTTAGGATCTTCACCTGAAGATTCAACCCATTTAAGTAAAAACATAAACACCAGATTTAAATTACCCACAAGAGAGTCAAGAGATATAGCACCATGTAAATAATACCCATAAAGAGAATTCAAGTTAAACAGAAAATTGTGAAACAAGGAGAACTATACTGATGGAAACCAAACAAAATATCACATTTAAATGCATAAGACACTCCTAAAAATTAGAAATATAAATATTTTCTACCTAGAAAACTTTTAACTCATCATATAGTATTATCCACTCTGATTGGAAAGAAAACCCACTTACGGATAAAAAAAAAGATAACAAAGTTAAAGAATTTATACATAAGTACATACCGCAGCACCCAAATACTGAAAAGCAAAAATAGAATTGGAAAAACTGAGAATTCTAGGATTATGCACCTTGGCGCCTCTCTTAGGTCCAATCGGCGGAGGCGGAGGCGGAGGGCGCTTGGTGTCAGGAGCCTCGCCCGCCTTGGCCGGAGGGGATACCTCCTGAGCCCTCACCACCATCAGTCTCCTTGAGTTGTTCAAAGGCCTTCTAAAGGAGAGAGAAGGCCTGGAAGAGGTGCTGCCACCAAGGTTCGACCCCAACGCCAAAGCTGTAGGAGCCATGTTGCAAGTAGCCATGCTCGTCATCGTTGCTCTCTCTAGAGAGAGAGAGAGAAATAGGAATGGATGAGAGAGAGAGACAGAGAGGGAGAGGGAGTGCCAAGGGGCTAGTGATAGAGAGTGAGCATGAGGGGGTGTTTGGGTTTAGAGAGAGAGAGAAAGAGTGCCTATGTGGACAAGGTGACATAAGGGGGTGAGAACCTTTGGTGCTAAATTATCTTCAATTCAGTCAGGGAAGCATCCAACCAATGAGGACTTGCCAAGTGTGCACCATATCCTCAGTGGTGTAGATAATGGTCTCTTGGTTCATGTTTCTTAGCTATTGGATTTTAAGTGAGATGGACATTTAGAATGCCCATGTTTACTTTTGTGGTGCGGTTTGTATAGAGCTGGGACTCTAAACAAAACAATCAAATTAGAGCTCACCTTAAAATAGTATCAAGAAATATGGTTTTAATACTGAAAGTTTTTTGATAGCTTTAAATTATATTTTTATCTTTAGTTATAAAATTTAAAGCTTTAAAAATAACGTATATCGAGCATATCTATAAAAACTTAAAAATCTTGAAATTTGATGGGCCAAAAATTAGCTACAAGATGCACTATTTTTAAAACTTGAAATCTATTTTTTTCTCATGTCCATGCATCTTAATGTTGAGATGATCAATTTGATGGTATTTAAGCATCAAAACAACCTCTTCCGGTGAAAGTTTTGAGGTATGCTCTAATTTGATCGTTTAGAGCCTAAGCTCTATATAAGCTTCTCTTTTTGTGATGATAATATACGGGGTGTCTCCTTTGGCTCATTTTTAGGACTTAATGCTAAGCCAAAATATGTTATACTCCTTGGCAATATACTGTTTATTTATTTACTCCCGCAGGTGAAATCTCACTTAGGAGTAATTTTAAGAGTTTGAGTTTTGGAGATATAACCTCTTAATCCCATAGTTAATTTCAATAAAATAATAAAATGTTTTCTAATTGCACTTTCTACACTCTTTAAAAATATACTATTTAAAGATTGAATAGAAAACATCCAATTTTGAGAAAGTGAGACCTAAGTGTTAGAAAACTCAAATTTCGAATTTCCTTAATCACCCATGCCTTGAATGCTTCTCAAAATTATAAATTGAAAAAATCTCCCAGGTGAAGGGAGTAAAAATAAACTATGCTCTTGAGGAGCATAGTATAGAATTTGTACCCAATTGATAATTGGAGAGATCTGGCTACTCATTGCACCGTGTCACCTGCTCTAAATGGTAAAAGGTCAAGTGTACCCCTATCCGTTAGATATCCCTATCTGGTGGCTGGGAATATACTATTGACTACAGTGCACACTGCCCATTTGGACAGGAGGAAATTAAGAATTTTATGGAAAAAGTTTATACAAGGATGCTATCTTATGATGTAGAACTACGGATGTCCCACAAAAATCTATCGAAAAAGGTCGTTTTAATGTTGAAAAAACTTTTGATTATCATCTCGACATCGAGATGCATGACTACGAAAAATAAAAAGATTTTGTCTCAAAAATAGTGCATTTTACAACATGTGATCTACACCGTCAATTTTCAAGATTTTCATATGTTTATAGATCTACTTGATTTTAACCATTTTATAATTAGATATAAAAGTAGATTATGAGATAATTCTAAGAACATTTTACATCAAACTTATATACCACGATAAAATTTGAAGGTGCACTTTACCTCTACATCTACGGATGCATCCGTATGCCAACTGCACCCTTTGGATATTTGAATTCATAAGAAATCTATAGATTTCCAATATCAAGTATTCTTCTCATATATTTTGAAACCTCTTGTTTGGGTATACAATAAGAAATTCATTGATTTCTTGCCATTATTTCAATGTCTATTGTTTAGTTATAAAATTTGATATAGTCTATCTCTCTAAAATTTTAATATATTTTCTCTCTCTTTTGTCTAAAAAAACTAAATTTTCTCTCTCTAAATCTCAAAATTTAGGATAATCGTACTCTAAAATTTTTGAGATAGTTTTTCCTTCTAAAATTTGATATGATTTCTCCCTCTAAAATTTTAATATATTTTCTCTCTTTAAAACTTAAAATTTGAAATAATTTCTCTAAAAAATTTGAGATAGTTTCTCTCTAAAATTTTCAAGTAGTTTTTTTCTGTAAAATTTGATATAGTTTCCCAATCTAAACTTTTCAGATACTTTTATCTCTAAAACTTAAAATTTGATATAGTTTCTCTCTAAAACTTTTGAGAGAGTTCTCTTTAAAAAATTTCAAAGTACTTTCTCTCTCTAAAATTTCATATAGTTACTCTTTCTAAAATTTTAAAATGATTTCTTACTTAAAATTTGAGATATTGCCTTTAAATTTTTGAGATAGTTTCTCTCGCTAAAACTTGATATAGTTTCTCTCTCTAAAATGGTAGTATATTTTCTCTCTAAAGTTGCAGTATACTTTCTCTCTAAAACTTGAAATTTGAGATAGTTTATCTTTGTACAAATTTTGAGATAGTTTATCTCTCTAAAAACCTCAAGCACTTTGACTCTCTAAAATTCGATATAGTTTCTCTCTCTAAAATTTTAACATAATATACTCTATCTAAAATTTGAAATTTAAGATAGTTTCTCTCTCTAAATGTTTTTAGATAATTTCTCTCTCTAAAATTTGATATGGTTTCTATCTCTAAAACTTTGATATACTTTATCTCTAAAACTTAAAATTTGAAATAGTTTATCTCTTTAGAAGATTTTGAGATATTTCTCTCTAAAATTTTTCATGTAGCTTCTCGTTCTTAAATTTAATATAGTTTCCATCTCTAAAATTTTAAGATACTTTCTCGCTCTAAAACTTAAGATTTGAAATAGTTGCTCTTTGAAAATTTTGATATAGTTTCTATCTCTTAAAATTTTCCAGTACTTTCTCTAAAGTTTGATATCGTTTCTATCTCTACATTTTAAGATGCTCCCTCTATAAAACTTTAAATTTGAGAGAATTTCTTTATCTAAAATTTTGAGATAGTTTCACTCTATAAAAAGTTTTAGGTACTTTCTCTTTCTCTCTGAAATTTGATTTAGTTTCTCTCTCTAATGTTTTAATATGAATTCTCTCTCTAAAACTAAAAATTTGAGATATTTTCTCTCTCTAAAATTTTTGAGATAGTTATCTCTCTAAAAAAATTTAGGTATTCTCTCTCTCAAATTTGATATAGTTTTTCTTCTAGCACTAGCAATTGTATGAAAATACTTGGTGTTGAGATCCTCTTCTTTAAGCCATTTTGTTCTTGATCTTTGCCTCCAGTAAATCTCTTCAGATTTGCGTAGCCCCTCCAACTCCAAGCTCTTCAAATTACTCTCCAAAAAAATGTGTTAAAAAATACCCCTAAGGTTTGGACATTCATGTCTATCGCTTCCAATTCTAGAAAAACTCCATCTATTCTTGCCTTAACATCAAATTTGTTTTCGTGTTTCCCCCTAATCAGTTTCCGCTTGATATTTAGTAGCTTATTATGCAGTTCGAAATCGATGGAGCCTTCCACCACATTATTCACCCAAGCACTAGTTATAAGGTCAACCACCTGCTTTTTTTTTGCAGCCAACTCAAGTTCAGCCTAAAAGGTTTAGGACTTCCTTTTAGGATCCCCGAATTAAGAAGGATGGGACAATGATATGAGGACAATCTCTACAGTGCTCTCATCAAAGACAATGGGTACTCATTCAACCATTCCATTGAGAACAAAAACCTATCTAACTTAGACATGACCAAGTTAGACAAACTATTATTGGACCAGGTGAACCTGGCCCCAATAATAGGGGGATCCATAAAAGAATGGTTAGCTATAAATCTATTAAATCATCTCATAGAAGAATTAATAGGATTACCCGACAAGCTCTCATCAGGCCAACAAATCAAATTGAAATCCCCACCAACCACAACCGAAAATTCAAAAGAATGAATAACAGAATTTAACTCCAAAAGAAAACCTTCTTTCAAAGCCACACTAGAGGGTCCATACACATTGACAATGCCTCATTGAAACCCAACTTTAGGACCACAAAAACCCAAAAGCAAAAAGAAATCATGTTTAAATGTGGTAAAATTCTAGATAACTATTGGATCCCATAAGACCCACAAACCACCAGATGCTCCACACGCATCAATACCATCAAAAGCAACAGCATTAGAGCCCCAAATCTCCCTAGCCCCTGCAACATCAGGAATGAGGAGTTTGGTCTCTTGGAGAATCAGAACCACTGGTTTAAACTTTATAACAAGAAAAAGAACATCTTTTTTCCTAAACTGACTACCCAATCCCCTCACATTCCACGAAATTATATTCATTAAAAATGAGGGAGGTTCGAAGAAGAACCTAGTCCATCAGGACAAAAATCAGAGTGCAGCTCGTCCACCATGAAATCAGCAACATGTTCATTGTTACTGAAAGAAGAACTTGACCCAGTGTCCACATTAACCACTAAGTGATCACGGACGACATTCGCTCACGGTGGGCCCTTCTTAATAACACCTTTAGCTTGGAGTCTGGCTGATGAACAAGTATCACGAACAAAATTTTTTGCCTCCAACTTCTTCGTTTTGCCCTTGTCTGAATTTTTCACCGATGTCATGAGAGGACCTTTCCAAGTACCATCATCACAACTGCAAGCGGCACATCATCCATACCCATGTCGAAGAGCATCTTCTCAACCAGCTACGTATCATCCAGAGACTTCTGAACCCCAAACGAAGGCTGACCAGGACCATCCTCCAAAAGAAGAGGGGAAAGGACCTGGTCATCATGGGGCACCACCTCTAAAGGAATGGCTTCTGACGAGTCCGAGGCCACCAATATACCATTGCTACTTCTTCATCAAAGCTTGGCTTAAGCGCCAAAAGAGGAGGAGAAGGCTCTGGCATGGAATCCTCTTCAACAACTATGGCCAAGGGATCTACTTGCAAAGAATCAAAATGGGATCGAGGCTTCTTCCCTACACCTTTAGCAGCATCCAACCTAAAAACCAATAGATGCATCTTCGGTTTAAAAAGGATATCGATGAATAAAGCACTAACCTTCTGTTGCACGCACCTCTCCAAGATTTTCCGCTGAACTAGCAAGCACCACAGGCCGCACAACACCACCAGGATTTGCAATAGTTGATGGAGTTCAAATTCCTTCCAAAGATGC